CCAACGGATATCTGACAACAAGCACTTCATTAGGGTCTGAAAAGTTAAGACAAGAAGCACCTTTTCATTACACCCAAACGGATATCAGATAAGGAGGAACGGATATCATTACGTTTTTGCGAAAATCCCTCGACCGATGGAGGAAAGGAAATCTAAAGAAAAATGCGTCAAACGGCATGCAGATTTCGTAGGTGCAGGAGAAGATATGATAAGCAGTCTTCATAACGCTTTGATATCTAAGATACTCTCGTATCTTCCGACAAAGGATGTGGTTAGCACTAGTGTCTTGTCCAACAGGTGGAAACATGTCTGGCTTTCGATTCGCGAGTTGGATCTGGACTCTAACGAGTTCCCAGATTACAATTCTTTTGTGAGTTTTATGAATAGGTTTCTAGATATCTATAGGGAAGAGAAATCATGCTTGGACAAGCTCAAGCTAAGTATTAGGAGAGATGAGAATGATGAGTCATTTGTCACGCGTTGGATTGACTTTGTGGCTAGGCGTAAACTTAAACATCTTGATGTTGAGTGTCTTGATGTGAACCGGCGTGAAGAGATGCCCATAAGCCTCTATGTCTGTGATACGCTCCTTTACTTGAGGCTACATCAGGTATTGTTGGGTAGTTTTGAGTCTATTTCTTTACCTCGTGTCAAGACTTTGTGTTTGGAGTCCAATGTATATGACAATGCGGCGTGTCTGGAGTCTCTTATCTCATCTTGTCCGGTTCTTGAAGATGTTAGCATTGTTAGAAGAGAAAATGATAAAGTAGAGGTTTTACGAGTGCGTTCTAAGACACTAAACAGGCTCAGGGTAGAATTTAGTGACAATGATCATAGAGGTTCTGATAGCTGGGGGCTTCTCATTGATGCCCCTAGACTCGAGAGCATAAACTTTTGCAATTTGGGTGCCTTGGCTGAAGTTTGGGGCTTGATTGAAGGTCATGTAGAAGGATTTGGCTTACCAAATAACCAAATGCCCCGTGATTTTCTCACAAGCATTTCGGGAGTTAGGGATATGATTATCTCTGGCAAGGCTATGGTGGTATGTGTCTCAATAATTTGCTCACCCATATTCTTCTCGGAAATTCCTATATATATTGCTCTTTGTCAATAATTTGCTCACCCATACTCTTCTCTTTTGTGTAACAAGTTCTTCTGTTTCTACATAAGCGTAGAACCATTACCTCAGTTTTGGAACCTGTCCAGTTTCGAAGCTACAATCTCTACTATTCAATTGAAGTTCCTGTCAAGGTTTCTTCGATGCTTCCCGAACCTAAAATCCATTGTCTTGGTGATTACTTGAACTAATTAACCTAGAGTTTTAACATAATTATGGATTTGTGTTATATGTACTCATTAATTAATCTTATGTATTTTGTAGGATTTAACATTTCCTCCTAATGTGATGCCTGCTATAAGATTGGAGTCCGTACCTGAATGCTTGTCGTCGTCCCTCGAGTTTGTTGAAATAAAAAGCAAATTCATGGCAAGGCCTATTGAAATTAAAGTAGCAAGGTATTTTGTACAAAACTCAACACTTCTCAAGAAACTTGTTGTGCATCTCAGCTCTTGCAAGCGAAAACAAAGTATGCGAGTCTTAACTGATCTCCTTGCATCGCCGAGGTCATCGTCTCACATGTGTGAAATTGTATATGCCGATTAAAAAAAAAATTTAGGTGGGTCTTGATGCGAACCAAGACGTGACGATCTCGCAAGAAACCAAACCCAAGACCAA